ACTGTATGTTTTATTTACTTTTCAAACATTTGTCGTTTTTTTCGTTAAATTAAATATCTACACCTGTTAATGAACATTTTTTTATTAATATAACTTTATTTTTAACATGACACATAAATAAAATGATCCGATTTGAGTATATAACATGCTTCAATCAAAGTTTTTAGCGATGATTATTCTTTTATTTTATGAGAATTTTCAGTGACCATTAGCTATAAGATTTTTAAAATTAATCAACATTACTTTTTAAATTGACTACATTTTAAATATAGATGTATTAATAAGATAAAGCTGTTCTATAAAATCTTAATATTTTAAACTGAAAGTTGTTATAGCTTCAAATGTACAGTTTACATAATAATAACACAATATTTCAGTGAAATGGAACACCAATAGCAATTATTTTGATATATACACTAATTATTATTCGGTAGTCTATTAGTCATCAAGTTAGATATATATTATTTATGTGAATTTTTTAAACTTGCCCGAGAAAAATGGATAAGAAATGCATTGTTATAAATTTAGTTTAAGAATTTGTTAAGAATTTTTTTGTTGTCACAAAACACCTATTTAAAGTAAAATAATCTGTAATAACTAAAACAATCGAATAATAAACAGATAATAGTATATATTATAAATTCATAAAATATCAAAGTATATTTATTTTTAACCTTTCCAACATCGCGAAGGTAAATTTATTTTCATAGAAGATTGATAAGGTTAATATTTAAGTATAATGAGTACATAAAATAAGTAGGAAATCAGAAAAATGAAATAATTACTAGAATAAAATATTGTTTGAATAAATAAAATTAATAACGTTTATATGAAGTTAACTAGCCTAGTCTAATCTTTGAGTGGATTACCTGTGTGGCCAATACAAATAGAGACTTTCTTGTGATGATAGAGAACCCACTTTTGGTTTCTATACTACCCGAGATATTTACTGACATGAGTTGTGTCAACAAAAACTTAGTTAACCTCTGGTACGAATGGCGTTATTGATACTTAAAGTGTAATAATTAATCACAACAGTTTCTATTTCAAATTATTATAAAATACATTTTCACACATCACTTTGTTTATCTATGTTTTACATCTTCTTATAAAACCCTCGTTCCTATGCCCCAAGAAAAATTATATTATATCATTTTATTTAATAAATATATAGTAACTCAATCATCCTCGACGTCATACAAATAAATTTTATATTTATTTTGAGTTACTATAATTTTGACAGTCGCGCAGTTTTTACAAATGTAATCTTTAATGTTAGCCTTGTCAGTAGTAACTTAAATATGTAATCCCTTGGTGAATACGTTTTTTAATATATTGATACGCTCCCGGTTTCAATTATTATAAAAAGTTATTAATTATTAAGTTCATTATTTGAAAAATCAATATTAGTTGAATTTAAATTTAACTTTTTTGTATGAAATTCATAAAAAATATTCCATACTGAAAAATTTATAACAGCATTTCAATTATAATCCAAAAAAATCTAATTTAATGAAACTAAAATCCAATATTATACATTTGTAAACTGAACTTCAATAAATCAAAATATTGTTTTTATCGTTTTATCTGATCGAGTGGTCTCAATATTTATGCGTAAATAAGCATTATGTGGAGTTGAAAATACTGGCAGTGATTTTAAAGTAAGTTCAACTAAATAATGGATGAGGGATAAGTATCAAGAACTAAAAATATAAATCCAAGTAAATAACAGAAATGAAAACAGGACATTTAAAGTAACAGTTAAAATGTCACGTAAATATTTATTTTATTCAAAAATATTTACTTTTGAATCTTGTTACACTGAATTAAGTAATTTATAGAGTTATATTTATTAAATTTTATTCAAATTCGTAATACTAACTGAAAACGAATAACACATTTTAATGAGTCATTACTACTTAAAAAAAAAAAAATCAAAAATATTTCATATATTAAAAAAATTATACAAAATCCATCACTTAAATTATAAAAAAAAAATGGAAATTTAGATTTTTAATTGATTAACAGGTAAATCGAAGGTGCATTTTGAAAATTGTAAAACAAATGAAAATCAATACGCAAGAAAATTAATATAAAGACACACTATTTGATCATTAATAATGTCAACAATTGATAGTAGTAAGTTGAACTACGACGTACTTCATCTAAAAATTAACAGAACTTGAAAATTAACAGATATGTTAAGCGCGTTTCTAAGCTTATTAAATATAAGTATTTTGTATCAACAACCAACGTTGTTCATAAATCACGTTGTATAGTGATAATCTGAAGGTTAACAGCGACCGGAAACTCTGTTGAACCCTTAGCTGTTTGTTCCGGTCAAGTTAGGTGACCAGCTGTTAGTACACAAACCGACAGTCTAGTTGAAAGATCGTTTCTGGATGTCAAAACTTTCTGAAATGACAACCGTATTTACATAATACAAATACTGGACTTAAAATTGTTATACTAAATACAATTGTGTTGATAAAAAAAAAAGGTGTATGCTAACTATGTACAATGGCATTATTTTAAACAAATTAATGGTAATGCTTAGTTCGTATGTCAGATAAATATCGCTTTAATTATACGTCCTAAACAAAGTGTAGTAAAGCGGGTAGAAATGATGGTCAATGGATTGGGATTTAAAGTTAACCCAAACAATTAACGTTCTTGGCGCACTCAAAACAAGCATGTATACAGGCCCGAATATATAATTTAAATGAAAATGTTAACTTACATTTATTCTTCTAAAAATAATAAAATACAAAATTATGATATGATAAAGTAATCTATGTAAAAATGTATTTATCATATTCAATACTCAAAGATAATAACAAAAATAACTAAAACATTGACAATTTCTCTACACAAAAATAAGTTGTTCATAAATAAATAGTTGAAAATAATAGCCCATCAAGAAAACAGAATTATGCTGTAAATCGAAAGGGTATGGGAAAAACGATGAGTGTTTTGGACAGGCTATACTGTATAAAATATTGATACTCATTTAATAATAATTGTTATTAATATGCATCGAACACTTGAAACAAACCGTTTTATGTTTGACCATACTTAAAATAAGTTAACCGTCATCTGGTGTTACATGAAATGCAAAACGAATGTTAATCGTTGGAATATAATATTAAATGGCAATATAAGAAGTTCAACGAGTAAAATGTATGAACTAAACTACAATAATATTCTTTTGTGCATTTACAAAAAAAAGAACGTTCATCCACTCTTTTGACAATTAATTAATTAAAACTCAAACAATAATACATAGAATTGCAATATTTCCATTCTGCAATATCTTTATTAAATTTTATTGCTATATTATTGTTGAAACAACAGTTTGTATAAAACCAAACTTTTACCATAAGATTCGATATGTTTTTAATACATATTAATACATTGTATTTATATAACAGACGTAATAAAAAATTATATAATACTCATAAAACCTAATCGATTTGGGTGCTCGTGTAAGAATAAAATTTATGTATATATTGCGTTCATTTAGATTTTTTCAATTTACATAAAACACAAAGACTAACTTTTTTTAAAACTATAACTCTACTTCCGATACTTAGACAATTTTTGTATGACAATGACGATATTAGAAACTCGAAAAAAAACAGACTTTTCATTTGACAACAAAATTTTATTTTATAATATACCTCTCTAAACTAAACACTTCCATTAGAATATCATTGTTATTTTTTTTTTTGTATTAACTAAATTGACAAAACTTTGCAAAGAAAGCGATTTCTAATTGAGTTCCTGTAATAAAATGAATTAGCTTTGTTTAATTAATGAAAAATTATTTTCTCGGTGACGATGATAATATAATAACTTGTCGCAATCATTCCTTTCTACCATTAATATTAACCAAAGAACTTTAACAAAAAATAAAGCAAACTTACATCAATTTCGGTATTCTAAATTTTCTATGCATTTTTCGTAGAAATAAATTATAATTTCAACCAGAGACTCAAACCGAATCAAAAAAACTGGAACCCTTAAAAATTTGACAAAACAAAAACGACAACAGAACACTAATCCACGGAACCCTATTTAACCGGAAACTTAGTAAAAATAGGGTTGATTTTTCGCTTATAATTTAAAAAAAAATGGGATACTGAATTATCTAGAGACTTTCCTAATCTCTAATTTTTCTCCCTAGTCTATGCTTCCCTAATCTCCTACTCTATATTTATCTATAACAATAATTTAAAAATGTTTACCCATATATGAAAATATACATTTTTAAAATGAAAATTTAATTATTATTTTTATAAAACAAAACCCAATTAAGTAATTTTACCGGATTTACTTAGAATCAATTTATACAGGTTTCGGAATGCCTCAAAAACATTAAAAAACAGAATCGTAATAAAAGTTTTTTAGTTAACTTTAACCCGAACCGAATTTACATTTTGGTTCTAATCGCTAGTTATAATTACATTTATCTTTTTATAACATCATAATTCATATAAAATATTGTTAAATGAATTTTCTATACAAAAAAAAAATAATAAAAACTACCTTATATACATTTATATTTCACATATACTTAAATTAATTATAATCCAAAAAGATTTTTGTCATAAGAAAATTAGCTAATTTTCAGAGTATATAATACTTTATATAGTCAAATAAAATTATATTGGATCGTTTGAAATAATAAATGTCATTATAAAATGTTTAAACTTGCAAATGGTGATGCTCCTGAAACAAAATGTTTTTTTTTTTAATAATACCAATATCATTCTTAGTTAATAAATCTTTAAAATTTCATTTTTACCATTAAATTTCATCTGAAATTGTAAAAATGATTATAAAAGAACGAACTATTTTTGATACTAATATCATACAACAAGAAACATTAAAATAAAAAATTTGATTCAATTAATTTTTTTTGCTATTAAATTTTTCAATTGCCAAGTTCGTTTTCTGCATTTAAATTAATGTAAAAATATATTAATTTTGGTTTACAGTTCCACCGGTAATTGTTGTTCGCAATCAACTTTTGGGAGCACCTATTGGGACAGACGTTACATTAGAATGTCACGTCGAATCTTATCCAAAATCAATCAATTATTGGGTTAGAAATCGAACAAAGATGTTAATGGATGGGTAAGTATTAATGATAATTTAAAATTAATCTAAAATTATCGAAATTATAATTGATGACATATCTAAGAAGTAATTAATTAGACTAGAAATTTATTGAAATTTTGTTTCTTTTCTTATTATTATTTAACGTATGGCTCGTTTAATATGAAAGCTAATTCATAGATCACAGACTACAAACAAACATTTTTAATGATTTTTATGAATAAATGTTTTTTTTTTTGTATTTTTTAGTAATTTAAAAAAAATGTTGCTCATTTATAATAGTAGTTATAGGCATTACTATATTATATTATAACTCATAATTTCAGAAAAAAAATGATTATTTAAATTTTTGAATTAATTGAACAACTCTGCTTAGCTAAAGTTGGGCTCCGTCCAACATCTTTTTCAATCCAGTTATTTTTAGAAAATATCTTTTAATTAAATAGAAAAATATGATTTTTTTGCGTAATTTAGAATGCAAACAAGTAATATTTCTCTATTATTTATGGCGATATTTAATCTAAAAAAATTTTACCATTGCTTTTAAAGAAAAAATGATTGTACTACTTTGTAAAATCAATTGGCAAAAATAAAACACAATTTTTCACCAAAAAATGGTTTTGTTTTCAGATTGAGAAAATGTTGTTAGATATTTGATCAATATAACCTTACATCAAATTAAAGCTATTTAAATATACTTTACGAATATAAAAGAAAAACGTCGTGACGGTTTATCATCTATAATTGGTCGCTAGAGTCTTGAGTTTCTAGTGATTAATTTTTTTTTCAATGTCTTTCTTTTTCCACTATAGCATTAGATCATTTTATATTAGTTATGTCAAATACTCTGATATATCAATCTATTCTAAAGTCCACTATTCCAGATTCAACTATACTGAGCTCCGATTGTAATTGGTTATTTAAACATTTGAATAAATATTACTTAGTATACTATGTTTTAAAATTCTACTGTTATTAAAATTTTAATGATAATCGTTTTTCTATCTCTAATTATCAAACAAGTCAAAAAATAAAATCAGATAGACACAAACTTGCAATCTTAGCAGCAAATAAAACAAAAACTTTATAGAAATCATCATTACTGAACTGTTTGCATTGCAATTAAAATGAAACTTAATTTGTATTGACATTAAATCAAAAGAAAATGATTTCAAATTTCAAAATGTATTCTCGAGCTTTATTTTTGTCCCGTCAATTTGTAAAGCTAAAATATTATTCAGGCTTCTTGTTGTCCAAACTCTTTGAAATGCATTTTCTTAAACAAATAGTGATGGCGTTCAACGTGGTAAAGGAAATCAGTTTTAATTTTCCATCAAACTATACTCGTTGTCTCGGTGAAATCATTTGAGTGTTGAAGAGCATTTGAATTGTTTTATGCAAAGAAGTATACATTCTCGAAGTCTCACCAGGCTGATTTTATAATACAACTTTGGAATGCAAACTACTAGCTCTCTTCACAACATTTTTTTCAACGCCAACAATAGCAATATTGCACACTGATCCGACAGTGTTTATGCAAAACATATACGGATTATGACCCGGTGTTCGCTATAATTTATGTTTTATCTCCCGCACTTTAATTCATAAACGCAAACAATTAAAAACACTAATTCCATACAAGATCAGAGTTGCGCATGAACGGCAAAAAACATACTCTAGTCACATGTAATTCCTTTTTGAATAACGTGCTTTTCACTTTACATAATATTACCATGTCGAAAATATTACCAACATAAATTTATCGTTAACTTTTTGCAACTAGTTTTGCATTCAATTTATAGTTTGAATTACTTGACACACAAAACAAATAATTTTAAAATTACGTAAAAAAATCAAATCGTTCAGTTTTAATTTGGATCGTTCATAAGGGTTATTTCAAATTATTTTTTTGGCAAGTATAAATAGAAAAGATACTTTTTATTCTACAAGATATTTTTAAAAACATGCTGTATGTTTACGATTTGAATGCGACCGACATTTGAATAAAACTAAATTCAGCTCTATTAGGGAAAAAATGCACTCATACAACAATACATGAAGATTTTAACGCTAAAAAAATTATATTATTTCATTGTAATAATCTATAATACGCTAAAATATAATGTAACATCATATTTCATAAATTAAAAATTAATACTCACACAATCGTCTAACCAAAAAAAAATGGTCTCAATAAGTTTGCATAGTGTCTGTTAGTACAATTTATGATTAATATTTTATTATGCAATCAAAACCTTATCCGGCTTCTTTGGAAAACAATTAGTGTTACGATGAATGAAAAATATTGAATAAATGCTCGCCGTGAATATTATGTCGGTAATGTAATTATCAACCTCGAAAATTTACCTTCATTATGAATTTCTTGTTCATGACATCCACTAATGTATTAGCATGAGACTGCGATTAATGAGAACCGCTCTCCTATAGAACAGCGTAGTAATAACGTTGCATGTATATGCTCTTTAAGACGGTCGTCTCAATATTACTAAAGGAGTGAAAAAAGCATACGCGCTACTATAGAAATAAATAAAAATTGAATTAAAAAGAAGTACAAAAGAATCCAATATTTCTGAGGGGAAAAAACCACAAGGTGTAAGTCAAGTCATTAATTATACAATTAGCCCTAATTTTTCAATACATCTAGCAAACACTCTTTACCCAATGATATACCACAATATCTATAACGAACCCTAACATACACTGACCACCCATTACTACCATCTCTTAAAGGATATCGTTGTGGTTTTTACACACTCACGTGCGTTTATGCTCTCCTCACGCCACAAGTTTTTGACTAATCTGTCACGTGATTAATGGCCGGGCAAAAGTTTACACTCTTCTTCTCGCATTTTATTTTCGGGTAATTGAAAGTCTGATGGCGTCGCCGACAACGTCGACAACAACAACACGCCAAGTATCTTTCACAACTCTACCCGCACATCCATAGGCGCTTCATCTAACTATCTGACTCATCCCAGACTCATCAAAAGCTATATTGCCGGCAAGTGGCGTTTGTGGCTTTTATAATTTTTTTTTCACACCGAAAATTCCACCATAGTCGCTTAAACAGTTTGATGGATCGACTTTGTTTCGTGACTTGAATAATTATTATTTAGGTATGATGTTAAGAAATAAGTTTCTATTATATTGTACTAACGTAATATGAAACACTGAAAAAAAAAACACTTACAACTTTTTTTTGTTATTGTGGAGTAAAACACAATTACATGTTTTAAAAATCTACAATAAAAGAATAATTGAAGTAATATTTCAATTTTGGCGAATTATTTAAATTTTCCGTGTCATATACTTATGAAATATCACTGATATTATGGTTAGGCGTAAATTATATAATTTACTAGTAATAAGAACCAATTTATACCAATAAGAAAATGAGCAATTAATTTTTTTTAATTTTATAAAGACAAATGTAAATACATTTTTACAAAAATTCTTAAACCGTTAACTAAATACATAACCATAAAAACTATTTAAAGAATAGGAAAAAAATAATTACGCTTACCGGTCTAACGTTGAAGTCAAGAGAATTTGACCTCCTCCAAACACTGATATTTTTACATTATATAACATGTAAGGTTAGACCCTGATAAGTATTCCAAATAAATTCTAAATTCTTTGGGATCTCTCTTAGAAAAATGTTGACCCGCCCCACTGATTGCACTCAATTCCACGGCGACATGTGTATGCATTTTTACTACTCTCAAGTATCGTACATAGTTTATTGCATAACGTCAATTTCTGAAACATTTTTTAATTATCAAATTAATTATGTGTTCATAAAAGTTAAAAGTTGTAAAAGTTTGGTTAATATTTTTTTTAATTCAATATGGTTGATAAATATTTCATAATAATTCGACTCGATTCTAGCAATGTAGAAAAAAATCAAATGACAATTTTTAGCATACAAAAGCATAATGAGAAATATAAAATTAACTGTAACCAAAAAGCTATCAGTAGTTTCTTCAACGTCGTTTATTTATCAATTAAATATTGTTTATTTATTAAATAAATTAGTTCAATTAATTACACCATACTGTCGTGTTGTCTCAATGAATTATACGTGTAGTTTAATAATGGACTTAAATACTCTAACGAACAAACCAACATACTATAAACTATATATTATACAATATATATGTGTAAGTATTTGCATAACCGTGGCCGAGTATATTAAATACATTATTTGTCACCAAACCACCGTCGAATTGAATCCTTTTCTCTGTCTCTGCAAACTGTTCCCGCATAAAGATTTGTTCAATTTGATGCTTCGAACAAATCATGTAATGAGTATACAAATTGTTTACAAATGCAATTCATTTCGTTACTAATGAACAACTAAATGATGATTTCATAAATTTTAAGATATTCAACTCGTTGTATAAAGGATTTATACAAGAAAACAAATAAAAAAAAAAACTTTTTTTACATTTTCAAAAAAGTATATACCCTACTTTTAATAATTTTTGAAAATAAAAAAAAAAGCTACAGAATAATTTTCATGGAAATTAAGTCCTTGAAAAAAATCCATGAAAAAGGGTTGGGTCCGTAGCATACACAAATAAAAATAGATATATTAACAGCACAGTAAAATGGTTTAAGTTAAAAATAATAAATAATTTTTATATTTTTCAATAATAATAATAATAGTTTTAATATAAAATTAAACAGTCCATGTGTAATTATATAGTAATATAAATCTATATGTGTACATAGATTTACGTATTAGATTTTTGCTATCGTCGTATTTGAAGTCAACGCATAACCTCTAAAAGTAATTTTGGATATTTTCAACATTTTTTTTTAGTGAGTTTTAGTAAAAAGAGTGTAAAGTAAAGTAACGTTTTTTAATAATAGATACTATAGATTTTATTTCCTTGAATGTTTTTTATCTTTGACTTTTTTTCCGTGATTTTTTTTCTGCTAAACGATTTAAATATTGTGACTCATATAATTTATATAAATCATAATAAATGAAAACAGTTGCAAATTAAAACAAAATTTAATTGTTTACGAGAAATAATGGTCATTTTAAATTTAATTTATTTATGAATTTTAATTGAAGTCTTATACTCAAGGGAGACCACGTAGAAGAGGAGCAGCTGCCCCTACCACAACTCTTTTATAACCAAACACTCAAGTTGGTGTTTAAAAATTATTTATTACATCTTAAAACTTTGAACAATATAGCAAAATACTTTTGCTATTTTTTTATGTTAAAATAATTAATTATATAAAAATTATTTCTGAAACTAAAAAATAATTTACCTTTAATCATTTTTTTAAGTCACGTTTCAATTAGTGCGGCATGAAAATAACAAAAAAATTAACAAAACAGATAAAAAAAAAAATTTTTTTAAATATTTTAATAATAATAATAAAATTATATTTTATTTTATTAAATTTGGCATACTATTTATATAAGTTTAATACTTATTAATTTTAATGTAAGATATTTTATTAAAAATAATTTTTACAAAATTTTATTATATGAAAAATTTAGTTGCAAATGAAAAAGTTTAATCTATTTAAATTAAATAGATTAAACCCAACCCAACCCAAACTTACACAGGACTATTTTTATAGTACACATGAATATTATAAAGATTTTTTAGGGTCTGTATTAAATTTGTTTTCAACTAATATAGTCTTAAATGATGTAAGTAAAATTTAAATTCAATAGAAGTTCAATTTGGCTATCGTGCCCAGCTCATTTACTTGTTGCTTGCTCGCAATCGTCGTTTTTGATGTAACAGTGCACTATATTTAGGAGAATATTTTTTAATTAAACCATTTGTAAGTTATATGTATTGACATTAAAAGTGACTTTATTTTTATAATTTAATCATTCCTTCACAGTAATAACGAGACTGATAAAAAAATGGATAGAATAATAAATATTAAAAAAAACTTGTAAAATTAAAATGATGAAAATCTTATAAGTCAATTTTTGAAATACGAACTCCAGCGACAAAAACCATCCACCGATTAATAAGTCAGTTCACGAAAATTAAATGGGTACCTGACAACAATAATTAACTATTAATAAATCTTTGTTGAATTAACAGCCTTGTAACTAAATCCATGGGGAAAAATAGTTACGAAATAATTTCGAACCGTACAAAAATACTACTGCTTTTTTATTCTCACAAAACTCTAACAATGATTTATGTTGCCCAAACGACAATTCAGAATTTATACTCTTATGTTTTGTTGATAAATTTTTTAAAATCTATGCGTTTCTTACAGCTTAAATATTAAATACTGTTTACAGACTTATTTTTCGTGCAATTTAGAAAAGGAAAAAGCAAACTTTCCACAACTATAGTAGTCAACAAAACTCGGTCAATCGATAGCAATAGCGTTATACGTGCAATATAGATAACGTAAAGATAACATTATTATCAAGTCTTTTTTTCTATTAACGACGCACAACTTTTCAGAATAATTCCTATCAAACGGAAAATTGCATTTTATCAAGACTTATTCATGAATTTATAATGAATACTAATTTTATCTACTGTAGACAAATTTAATTTGACGTAAAAATATTAGGTTGTATTTAATAATTATTTTTGCTTCAAACTAATAAAAGTGTCGAATGATCAAGTAAATAAATCGTATTTATTTACAGTTGTAAATGACTATAAGAAAAATAATATTACATAAATATTTAAACACTCAGAATCATTTAGTCATTCTCGTTTAAAGGCAAAAGGCTTCAAATATTCATTAGTCGTCGATTTCTATGAAAGATCATATATTAATGATGACCAATAATTAATTTACCTAAGGTAAATTCTACAAGACTGTATTGAGACCAGCTATGATGTATGACTCAGAGTGTTGGGTGGTTGATAAAAAAGTAGAGCAGAGAATGAGTGTAGCAGTAATGAGAATGCTTAGATGGATGAGTAAAGTGACTAGAGAAGATAGGATAAGGAACGAGCATATAAGAGGGAGTATAGGTGTAGCGTCAATCGTTGATAAGATGAGAGCAAATAGACTTAGATGGTTTGGTCATGTTATGAGGAGAGAAGAATCGGAAGCTGTAAGAACAGTTATAGAAATTAATGTTGAAGGAAGAAGAAGTAGAGGAAGACCAAAAAAGAGATGGAGGGATGCTATTGAATGCGATATGAGGACAACTGATGTGGGAGATCGTGTCAAGTGGAAGTTTAGGATAAGGGTGGCCGACCCCAAGTAGTTGAGATTAAGGCGAGGAAGAAGAAGAAGACAAATTATTTATTTATTTATTTATAAATTACAATAATAGCATAATACTATTGTACAACAATACTACAAAAAAAAAAAAATAATGAATTAAAAAATAATATTAGTTTTAAAATAACTTAACTCATCCCTATATGATTTTTAAACTGAATTTTTAGACATTTATTTGTTACTTGTATAATTATTTAAACACGATTTTTTTTTTAATTTCAAAAATTAGGATAGTTTATCTCTGCGTTTTAACAAAATATATACCAATAACACACATGTACAATAAACAAGGTGCTCTTTTTTGCATAATTCTTTAAAAATGATGACGTATGTGAAATTGGCTTAATTAGTTTATTATATAGTTATGTAGGTTATATTAGCTTCATAAAACAAAACAAAAATCCAACGCCAAAATGAGTTCCTGAAATTTAATTAACTTTTTTCATTCAATATCTTTTAGCTTGTTTTAATTGATTAAAAAGTGAAATACAAAACCAAATAAAAATATATTACCATAATCTTACATTTTTAATATACTTAAAAAAATTTTGCAAAAATAATTATGGGTATATGTATAAATAGAAAACCTATTTCTCTAAGTAATAAGTATGAAAAACTCATTCACGTATCAGAATAGTAAAATTTATTTTTCAATTACAAATTGTTTTAAATATAATTGGCTTAAAAGATTTAATATAATTAAAATAACAAATGCTGAAAAAACTTTTTGTCATTTTTTAATTTAACGGCATGGTTTTAATTATTTTTATAATGATTTTTGTACATCAAAGATACCACTTTGTTATCTATTCCCTTGAGAATATCAAAAACCATTAATGATAATTAAATTATATTACAATATATTCAATAAAGCATATTATTTAAATAAATAATAACAGTTTTATAATTTATCGTAGAAGTTCATTTTCAACTTTGTGTATTTTAAAACAAAAAAACTATTAGTTACATAATCAACATAAAATATTATCTAGTAGTTAAACAATAAATATTAAAGTTGTCACTACAGTAAACTAGTACCAAGGGACTACGTATATCATCACATTGCTTAAATTTTAAAATACATCTAAGCTATTTGCTAAACAAATAATTGTAGAAAAATTTTAGATATATCCTCTTTAAATAAGCTGTGATTATCTCAGGCATGGTTTAAGGGATGAGAGTATAGGAGCAATGGTCTCTACAAATTCTGTATGATAATCTTTTATTCTGAAATTAATATAACTAACAACGAAATATCTTATCAATTTTATTCTTTTTAATTAATTATACTGTATATTTTTAATGTTAGAACTTAACAAATATGATTTAGTGTAATTTTAAAATACCAATTACTATAGTAAAATCGTACAAACATTTCTAATAATTCAAATAAACAATGCAAATAAATTTTCATAGTTTATACTTAGAGTTTTAAAAATTAAATAGTTCTTAAATGAGAAAATAAAATTGTGATTCGAAAAAATACTTGTAAATAAATCAAAATTTCAATAAAAATGTCAATGTTTTTGTGTTGAGACGTTTACAATTACCGAATAATTTATGTTTACTTGTTAGTATTTTAACACGCACACGGCTAGCCACATAAGTTATAGTTAAAAGTTTTGAAACGGCAAGTGCCAAGTACTTCGTTGAGCACAATTTTAAAAATGATACACGTCGGTTAATAACAAAATCGACAATATTTTATAGGTATCTCCGTATTTATAATACAACGATATCAAATTTAATTTGATTCAACGTGTAAATTGACTAAAGTGGTCGACACGCTACTCAATGTAACACGCAAGTTCTATTCGCTACAGCTATAAAAAAAATATAATGATATTGTTTTAGTATTTATAAAAAAGTAAAAGCGTTTTGTTTGTACACTTCATTTATGTTAATCGGTGTATTTTTGTAGACTTACATAAATTTAATTTTAAATTTATGAAATGAAAAGTTAGTAATCACTATGGATGTATAATAGTAAATAAAAGAAGCCTTTTAAAAAATATTAGTTTTTGAACGGAAATTATAATAATTTTAAGAACCCAAAACTCAAAATTAACACGTGCTATAGAAATTAGTTAATATATTTTCTTTAGTTTGAGCAATATTTTCACTATGCAAAACTTTGAACGATTATTTAATCTATAAATTTACTTCAATTATAAACAACAGTAACGAGAGCATACAAAATTGATTTCATTAACCAATACACTATGTTATCTATTATTCTTGGACATTCTCATAAGAGAGGATATGAGGAATAGAGCTCACCACGATGAAAATAAATATGTGGTAAAAATTTGTTTGGAGAGAGTATTAAAAAAATGTCTTATATATATAAATGTATATCACCTCCCGAAACAAAACCTAAGAACGTCACTGCTATTATTTTTATTTACCTCTATAGTATGTATCTGTCTATAATAAATAACCTTAATATAATTTTTTTTAATTTCATGAAACAAAATTAAATTATTTTCAGGCCAAAACACGTGCTTAGGGAGACTATATCCGACTACAAGTCTGCTTACTACATAGTCATTAAGATGTTCGACCAGTCGGACGTAGGCACGTACAGTTGTATATCGACCAATTCCATCGGTAACGCCGAAGGCACTCTAAGAGTTTACGGTAAGTGTTTTTGACAGCGACTACCACTAACCACTCGAACCGTTTGTCTCGTTTGGTAGTTATAATTGTGAAAACCTCTTGTAGATACAATAGTATTAAACTATTTGTCGAAAAACTTCTGTAAAATCAAACCGAAAGTATGCTTCAAAGTAATGTGTTCACCATCCAAAGTTTAACAAAAAACAACTGATGTGTCAGCTAAGGTGTAAACAATAATAACTCTCTGAATTAGATAGGTTTTGGTTGTCATTCGGATAGTCAAGAATCAAACGAGGTAATCTTGTCTTTTCGCTTTCAAAAAGTCTTTGTATTTTAGACAAAACTTAAAATCTATATACTAAAATATCGAGTTCTCGTTCTCTTTGCTCTCCACTTAAATTTTACGACGGTGATTTTTTCTAAAGCACTTTGATAGGATGAATCGATGTGTTAGCAAATAACATTTATTATAACTAGCCAATAGAAGTTTACACTGAATGAAACAAACATTCTAGCTTTAGTAAGAAATTCTGGCGATATTTTCATTCTATTTGTTTAACTAATTAAATGAAAAAAACTATAACATTTTTTCTGTTCAATGCTTGTTTTATAAATGTCTACTGAGTAAACCGAATATTAAATAAGAAATAACAGCATTTCTAAAAAAATAGCTTCCAAATTAACACAGTTTATTAGATAATAAAAAGGCTAAATAGTCAATATTAACGTATTATGTTAGTCAAAAAGTATATGATTCAAATGTATTTATGACAAAAATGTTTAGATTCACATTTCCATCCCATGGGGTAATTTTGAGTCAAGTTTGGAATTATTAGAACTATGAGCTTAGAATTAATATCGAACCTGCTATCGTCGGTAAACGTTTGATAGCTCATTAGTAAAACTTTGACGAGATTGTTAATAACCGATAACGTTACTTACGATTTCTGAACATATTGCCACTGTTATCTACGGCAACCCGATAATGGCTTATGAAATATATGATCAACGGTAATTTTCGTCGAAAACATATCAACTAAACTTGATAATTAGGCTTCAAGTTGTGTCAGTTACAAACCCTCGATAACGACTTTATACTCACTAAATACAACATGGTATCAGGTTCCCAATTACTTCTCAGTTCAATACATGCAGCTCGTCAAAACTTAAATGTGCTTCCGAAAAAAAAAACTGTAAAATGTGATGAATTTGTTTTCGAATAGTAGTTTACAGTCGAAAGTTGAGCGAGTTGTGACTAATTTCTTTCGAAACTACCGACGAACATCCTTATTACTTTGCTTAAATTACGCTACAATAATTATTTGAATTAAAAGTAAAGTTAATGCTGTTCTAACTTGTCAAAAGTTTTGAAGTTCGTCGACAACCGTAACAAAATAAACACGCTTTCAGCAACAATATTAAGATTATAGTCATTCTGAAATTAATGTTCATTTATGTGTTTATCACAAAGATTCCTCTTGATTATTTAATACCAATGTGTTATTGTATAATAAAATCAATTTCTATTTAACGGAGGGTGTATAAAATGTCAGAGTAGTTATTTCCACAAAATTACTGCATGAAAATAAAATTTCATAACTGTTCAAATGATTATTTTTGTTTAGATATTTTTTTAGTAAATTTATGCATTGTTTCAATTAAAATGTATTGGATTTGAATTTTATTTAGTTTTTTAATTGTAAATACCTTTAAAAATAGTACAGCTAACTCAATTCTACTTTTTGAACATTAAATTTAAGAAAAAATATATTGGATAGTAAATATTCTTCTTCTTTTTCCTCGCCTTAATCTCAATTACTTGGGGTCGGCCACCCTTCTCCTAAACTTCCACTTGACAGTAAATATTCTATAAGAAAATCATATAATACAACATCCATTAACTATGTTTGAAACATTCTTAATGTTTTAACCGTGCTATGTGTAATATCAATTAACAAAAGTTTTTTGTGAAATCATTAAGATATAAAATGATTTAGCCATTAACTTACAATTTATTACATTTGTGACTTATGCTACCCGCAGGCACACACAAGTTCGTCATGTAGTGTATTACATTAACTTATATTTAGTAAAATTAACTATTAACTAACGCACAGAATTATTTAGCATGTATAATTTGCTATGTAACAACTGATCTTCTACAAACTTTTGGAAAATTAATGGCAAGACGTTCAGCTAACTCCTTGGTGTGAAAACTAATGAAACTTTTTGAACAAAAATACTATATTAAAAAAGACAAGTTCTTATCAATAGGTGACGTCTTTATTATTTATTCAGCAATATTACATATAAGATTTTAATTCTATATTTATGCTCAGCGGTTTTTTAATGTTTTTTGGACCATATTCGACACAAGTGTAATAATTTTTAACTTTCAACAACCAGAAGTAAAAAAAAATTTCTTTAATTTTTTTCACAAAATGTTATTAGTGACTTATTCAACTATGTACCAAACATAATGACATAATTTTTGAATTAATGAAGTTCCATAGTAAATTATAAATTAGTACATTATTTTATTGGTACAACAGTTTAACATTGGCATACCAATAAAATATTTACAGGAACAGATTATGAAAATCCAATCGGACTCGAATAGTAAGTAGTATTGTAAAATTTCCGCAGAATTAATATTGAAGAAATTTTTATTTAAAAGTTTTAAATTTTCTATTTTTATTAGAAAATAATCTTAAATTCATTTTGAAATTTATTTTTTTTCATTTACACATGTACATATATCTTATGATCAGAGAAACGTTACAAACAAAAGAAAATTAATTTTTAAAACTAATTTTATCTATTTTTTTTTGCTAAATTTGGTTATAGAACGATGTAACTATTAAAATTCTTTAACTTAAGTTATAACTTCTACCTCTATAAGTCCTATCGTTATATTACTCAATTTTATGGAACACCCCTAAATAATATTGGCATATGATGGCTTAATTATCTAGCCGTCGACACGAATACACACACACACAAATTAATTTTAACATTCAGCGTCAAAACGCATTTCTTGCCTCTTCCCCAGACTTCCCATCGAAATACTCTGAAAGTCAGCACAATTTCTCAAACTAGGGAGCCACTAAAGGGATAGCCTCCAGACCCGTCAGTTCGATCAAAAGTAGAAGACTATGGTATGACTACTCACCAGCACAACTACTTTTTCTCTATGCCAACTAAAGGAAGATTTAGCCCTAAGACAAGCCAACTTAAGTTTTGAGGACTGACTAAAGGATCAGCACTCTGACCTTAACTTTAATAGTATACATATAAATTGATAATAATACCGAAATTTAATAAGATAAGATCACAAATCAATAAGAATCACAAATCTCTAGATAAGCTACAAACAATTATATTTTAAATTAAGTTTTTTTATATTTTCTATGACATTTAATACTTTATTTCGCTTTATATTTTAACTTTTTCAATTTCTGACCATTGCGCACAATAAACTCTCATTGTAAATTAAAAATCTTTTAAAAAGTATCACACTTGTAAAACAAATAAAACAAGAGTGTCAGTTTGAAATATTTTTCTACGTCAACTATAATTGAAAACGTATTTGCATTAAACATCATGGATTTCTTCTACAAAAAATATCAAAACACATGATCCGCTAAAAAAGTTTATAAACTAAAAATATCTCGTATGCGTATTATTAGAATGCATAATGCATAGAAATATTTAAACAAAGAATACCTCTACTCATTAAAAATTCTTGTTTCTCTTGTTTCTCATGAAAGATTAAAATGAAAAACCTTAATCAATTTATGATAAAATTTTTTCATCTCACCATATAAGCGCATAAAGATTTATTAAACAAGTTCACATTTTATACACTTATTAAACAAAAAAATCTAACAAAACAGTTGATAAGTAAATTGGTGACGAAAATTTTAAATATTAAAATATAAATGTCAAACAAAATAGTAAGATCTATCAAAAACATTTTGTTTTAGTAGTTAGTCTTACTTAAAATTTAGAATAATATATTTATACTTAACAAAAAAATATAATCTAAGATAGAAGCAAAAAACTATAAAAAATGTAGTTCCTTATCTTGACCCGGAACATTTTTCAGGAACTATATTTTTAGTTTTCGCGGAATTTTATACTGCGGTAAACATATTCCTCCTTTTCCTCAAAATTCTAAATTTGCCTTTGAACATGACTTCAGTTTTATAAAATATCATTCAATCAAGGACTTTAAATTACTTTTAAGGGAGGAAAATGATTTTGCATTCTAATTTAAATAACATTTTTTAGTTTTGATACGAAACTGAGAAGGTATTAATTTTACTGTGATGTGTTTTTTTTTGTGTCTGTTACAACTTTTTTCAGCTCTCACCGAACCGATTTCTTTCAACGATATGTCAAAAGATCACAAATCGTATCTAGTCGAAGACAATTACCCTCAAAAATAGAAAAAATCTCCCTCGTTCCCCGTAAATGGGGGAAACCTCCAAAAAAATTACAAATTTTCGAAAATTTTTCAATTTTTTTTACTAAAAAGTGCCGTAACTTTTTCAAAAATGAATATATCAATATAATTTTTTTTTTATATAGATGCTTGATGTCTTTTCTTATCATTTGGTATATTTTTTTTGTAAGTCCGACACTTAACCTGCCCACAGGGGGGGATTTAAAATGACAACTTTTTCAACTTAACTTTTGAAAATGTTTCGGAAGGTCTGACACTTTTATATATATATTAAATTAAAGCTAATGTAATGTACTTTATTATGAAAAAAAAAATTTGACCTTTGGACTTGTCTTCGTGACGAAAATGGCTACCGAATGCTATTTTTGTGTGAAATTTCTCGATTTTATATTTTACATTTTTTACTTTATAATGCTATAACTTATTGAAAAGTATATGGATCAACACAAATTTTTTATGAGAAATAATATTTCTTAATAATCCCTTTTTCATTCGACATACTTTATCTTAATCAGTTAATTAATAAGGAACTAGCAGATCATGTAGCTTTTGG